TATGCTTTTGATTTGAAATTGGCGAATGCGATTCGGTTACTCCGCTTTTCCTTGTTGCTATTCAAATTACCAAAAAATATTATCTTCATTAGCGGAAATTTCTATAAAACAATATTTTGTTGACCAAAACGTAATGCGTTGTATGGGCAGTTTCCGCTTTAAATAACTAATTGGAGGCAGACTTTAGGCAGACAAAAAGGTTCATTGATCAAATGGATTTTACGTAAGCAAATATAACAAATGAAACTAGGGTTATTTTTTTTTTGCTGAGCACAAAGGCAATACACTTTTCACTACATCTGGTGATTTTGTAAGGTCAATTATTTTGAACTATGAGATGTTATTCTTTTTTAGTTTTACATACATTTCAACACTGGAAATTGTAACAATCTGAATTTCATTAATATTTTTAGATATATATTCAGTTAGATCTTATATTTGATTAAAGATATGCACTTTGTCAATATAACACCCTGACATTGTCGTAACTATTGCAAATCAATATAGATGCTGCCATTTAAGTAAGTACGAATTAAAATCTAAACAGGTATATACAATACGAAAAACCAATCTTTTTTTTTTGGTAACTTATATTATTCTTTGAATGAGAATGAGAATAGAAATATTGAACTGGAATTCAAACAGCTTCCTTACCTATTCAGAAAAAAAATGAAATAAAAAATAACAGATGTTTTTGAATTGCTATATCAAATAGAACTTTGCAATCGGCTACTTATTGAGTAGAAAAAAATCAACGTACGTCAACTTACCTTGACCTGTGCTCTCGCCAAGCAAATTCGTATATAATAAAATTATAAACAAAAAACAAGCTAAATGCATAGGCGGAGCAACATACAATCATATGCAAATCTGTTTGAGGAAGCAAAGCAAGCGTCACAATTGGGGACGATGCTCATTCCGAGATATGTTTTATCCATTATTCAAATATTTACTCACATATAATTACTATAATATAATGTTACAAAACAGATGCGCCCAAAACATGAAGAAATAAAAAACGAATAATATAATGATAATTAGAAGAAAAATCAATCTCGATTCGATCTCTTACAATGCTAAGACTGTTGGTAAGTTCACTATTTCCATGATCCATGACAAGGCCATGATTTATAAAGTGACCTTACGTACAACATAGACTTTTTAGTTCTTAGTTATAAGTATAGATTTTGGGCTACTGTGTTATTTTATAATTCTTGTTAGCCATGGTATTCTGTCTTTGAATTTATGCAGATGAGTTTATAAAATAACTATCGATGTCTTCTCTAAAACTATATAAATGTTATGAAAATAATAAAATTTATTGTAATTACTTGTCCTGTTTTTATTTTTGTCATGATCATTTTTTCTTTTTTCAATTATTGTTTATCATTGCGACAAACAAATATAATTCAATTTATTTATTTATTTGTATATTTATTTATTTTAGTGGAGATCAATATGAAAAGAAATTATCCTGTGATTTAGTTTTCTTTCAAACTTTTGTATATGTTTTATATGTAACCCTTTTAAGATGTTTTGCTAATACGAATGATCTCGAAAAGCAAAGACGACTGTCCTGCAATTATTACAATCTCAGCGTAATATTCACATTTCTACGTAACGTGATGATTTATGGTAAATACTTTTCCAATATAAATGTCTGTCAGCTATAATATAACGAATTGTTGGTTTAACTGGGACTGAAACGAAATAAAAAGTAAAATATTAGCAGTCCACCATATAGAAAATTCATGTTTATCATATTATGCAATTAAAATGTAGCTAAAATATATGAAATTAAGTTAAGATTTACAAATGATTTTCTATGCTTGTTTTTTTTTTTCAATATGATAAACATAATATGTAATTAAAATGTAGCTAAAATAAATTGAAATTAAATAAAGATTTACAAATGATTTTCCATGCTTGTTTTTCAATATGATAAACATAATATGTAATTAATATGTAGCTAAAATAAATTGATTTTAAATTAAGATTTACAAATGATTTTCCATGCTTGTTTTTCAATATGATAAACATAATATGTAATTAAAGTAAGCTAAAATAAATTGAAATTAAATTAAGATTTACAAATGATTTTTCATGCTTGTTTTTCAATATGATAAACATAATATGTAATTAAAGTAAGCTAAAATAAATTGAAATTAAATTAAGATTTAAAAATGATTTTCCATGCTTGTTTTTCAATATGATAAACATAATATGTAATTAAATTGTAGCTAAAATAAATTGAAATTAAATGACGATTTACAAATGATTTTCCATACTTGTTTTTTAATATGATAAACATAATATGTAATGAAAATGTAGCTAAAATAAATTGAAATTAAATGACGATTAACAAATGATTTTCCATGCTTGTTTTTCAATATGATAAACATTATATGTAATTAAAATGTAGCTAAAATAAATTGAAATTAAATTAAGATTTACAAATGATGTTCTATGCTTGTTTTTCAATATGATAAACATAATAAATAATTAAAAAGTAGCTAAAATAAATTGAAATTAAATTAAGATTTATAAATGATTTTACATGCTTGTTTTTCAATATGATCAACATAATATGTAATTAAAATGTAGTTAAAATAAATTGAAATAAAATTAAGATTTATAAATGATTTTTCATGCTTGTTTTTCAATATGATCAACATAATAAGTAATTAAAATGGAGGTAAAATGAATTGAAATTAAATAAAGATTTACAAATCGACAATTTGTTTCAGTTTCAGCTGAACCGACTTATATATAAAGCATTGATAAAATTAATAAAGTTTTCACATATGGATATTAACATGCTAATGTTAGTTGACTATGTCTACTCTGTGCTACGCCACACAGCTCGAGTATTTAATCTTATTGGTTGTTATTGTTGATATTGCATGATCACGTGGTCGGTCTGTTTACATTTATGAATGAAATAGTTGCGACAAAAGCAGGTCACATCATGAGCGTTAAGAGCGGAATTACTTAGTATATGTTAGTGTTTATTAAGTGAAATTTTAACAAATAAAAACCCAAAAGAAAGTACCTACGGGAGCGACCGTGGGTTAAAATGCTCACTTAATAAAAACTAACATTCTTAGTGTTTAACCTCATCTGACCTCGCTAGAACGCCTTTGTTTACAATACGATGGGTGGAGTTGAGTTTCGGGAGCATATTTCATCTATCAGGAGAGTGCACATTATTTACATTGTGTTTCGCTTAATTATCTTTAATTATGCACCTTTCTGAAAAATATTGGAAGTGAATGATTTATGTGATAACAACCTCTGTATGATTTTGTCGCTTTAGGGGGTTAAGGACACTTCCATTTGAACTATACAGAAATAACCCCTAAAAATATGTAAAAAAGAAAGAATCGAAACTTTACTCTTCATGTGCCTAACTGTATGCAATAATAATGACAATCATCTATTTGTGATTTATATATGATAATTCAAAATAACCAAAATATTTGGGTTTTCTATAATTCCCCATGGAAATAGGCGTGGCTATTACATTCAGTTTACACATGCGCACTTCGTTACAAACTCATAATGACTTAATAAATTAAGAAGGGCAGTTGTTTTGAAATTTGGAGCGATTTCATTGGTCACCAAATGATGTTGAACACTTGTGAGTACTTGCCAGTTTATTGCAATCAGTCTCCATCCAATGACTTTTGATATTATCATCTTTGGCAAATTTTAATACATAATAAGATTAAAAAAGAAAGAAAAAAAACGTACATAATAGCTAGTCTGCTATTATAAAAATATTTAACGTCTGGGCCCTGTTAAACTGAATTTTGTAAAAAGAAGGTCTGAATTGAGTTCCGGATTGCATACTTACTCTCCGACTCTTAGTTCACTATACATACTTAAAGACGATCTTGCCCCGTAGACACATAACATATGTTTAATCTTGTTTATCATGTTAAATTATATCCATATACATATACATGTATATTTAAAAAAATAGAAACATTTTATTTTTATTTTTGATATATTGTCTATACGAAAAAAAAAAATAAAAAAAATTATAAGCATTTTTGTCAATATTTATTCAACAAACTTTAACATGTAAATTATATATTTTCTGAAAGATTATGTTAAAGTCAGTTTTTATTCGGTTTGAAGTTTATTTTTTACTTTAAAAGCTGCATTATTTTCAAAGTATTTGTTAATGTCTGTTACCAAATGTTTGATGACAAATATCTAAGCGTTTGACTTTGTAGTTTCAAAAAAGATGATTTTTTTCTATACAAGTCTGTGTAACATGGCGTGGCCAATTTTGACCCCGGTGAATGATTTATATAACCTTTCTAGAGGATCACAAGGTGATACTACATACTAAATATCTAACCCCAGGGCATTGAAGTGCAAGAAATTCATTTTAAGCTATTTTCAGCTGATGCAACCTACTTTTGCATCAGACTCGAACCATTAACATTAATAACTTTTGTAGAGGACAATCAAAAATGATCATTCTTGTTAAATTTGGCCAAAAATCCTTAAAGAGGTTTAGGATTTGATGTTGTTTATAAAGATATAATGGATAACTGCCATAACGAAAGTTCACCTCTGAGCACATATGGGAACATAATTAATTAAACACATGCAGTCATACTTCAAATCTTGTTAATCACTTGACATGTATACAAGCATATTTAGGAGTACATAACTTATGAATATTGGCCGCATAAACACATACAAAATATAAAGAAGATATTAGAGAAAATGAGAATAATTACAATCAAATTATATACTCATGTGTACAAACACATGTAAGTATCAGGCATTGCAAATCAATATAGGAATTCTATATATGTTCGAAACCCCATCACACTCTCCTTACTAAATTCAATTTTGCATTGTATTATTTTGTTAATGCTCATTTGTTTGTGAAATTTTACTGTTTATAAAACTGATGCCCATATGTGTCTAGTTGAAATAAAAACTTGAAACTTGAAGCAAGTTTGAATATTTCTGCTCGGAAATCAATACTGGTGAAATAAGATTAGGTAACTTAACTGTACTGGTCTGTATGATTTAGCATCTTGCAAAATACTAGAATGTAGAAAAATGTATACAAAACACCACGAAAAATTATGGCACATGTAAGTACCAGGCTTTGAAAATTGATCTGGCACTTGTTTATATGCTTGAGTCTCCAAAACTTTATAAAACAAATGTAGAGATCTGAAATATTTACACTAGAGAACTTCCCATAAAACAATACTGGACAATAACTTGTTTATGAAATAAAAGTAGGCATCATGACAAATAAAAAAATACAAATATATTATTGAAAAATTTGCAAAATACGAATATATGAAGAGAAATAAATATACATATCTTAAGAGTTAAAAATCTTAAATGTACCAATAATCATTTTCTGTGTGAAAATCAAACTTGTTTTAAAGAAATACATAATTATAGAACATCAAGTTTAAGTTACAGTGTCAATTTTGTGACGTTTGTAAATAAGGCAGTTTAAACCATGAAACTACATTCCATGCCAGGATACTTCTCCCGCACCTCGGACAGTGATCGAGTCGAACAAGGCAATGTCGGCACATTATTAAGTGTCCACATTCTCTGATAACGGCATCGCGGATATTTCTCGTACACCTCGTACACTTAAGTTCATCTGGAAGTTGCTGTCTCAATCTATATGGTAGAGATATTTCTTGATTCTGCAGCAATACTGTTAAAGAAGTTGGTGTCAATTATTCATAGTGTATGTACTGCAGTAAATATAAATCTAAAATTCTCAAAACAAGTCGCTTAAGTATGCTCAAGTGTTTTTTTAAATATTCAGAAATAAATTATAAATGTAAGCAGTCTTTGAATACGTAAATTCATGGGTAATTAATAGACCGTAGAATTATGAAGAATGTGTCTTTAAAATTCTTTAATGCACATGCTCCAAAAATTAAGATTTTTTTAAATTTTCACGAAAATTTTAGAATGTATCTTAAGGTGAAATATATTATAAAGTGACCAAAGAAAGTAGTTTACACATTGCAAACGCACATACAATGCAAGTAAATTACCAAAGAGAGGTCAAAATGTGCATACATAAAATTTGCTGCGTTATTCACGCAGGATAAATATGGTGATGAATTATACAAAGAAGTCATTAATCGCAGACAACATGCAAGGTATTACTTGAATCTTGAATTTTTTACGATTCTTAAGATATAAGTAAATTTTTTTATCTTGTTTGATTTTCTTGAAATATTCTATCCTAGCTTAACATTTGTGACCTTAGTGATTTGTTTATATAAGTACCTTCAGAATGCCGGTTTTGTCTTAGGAATCTGTTACGATTTTCATATCTAAGATTAACTACTCGTACACGATATTCGTGTCTGAGCGAAATTACTCGCTCCTCTGCGTCACCGTTGTTCTCGACATATACTTCCGGGTTTCTGTCTCGTCCAATATCCCTATTGTAACCTGTCTCTTGTCTTATACGTGCTGGATCGTCTTCCTCCCCGAAAGGTTGTGCCGCCTCATAGTGTCTTATTAGCGCAACTATCCCTATCACTGTGATGAAAATCTAAATTTCCAAAAATGTGTATTTATTATACAATTTTGTTGTAATATGTAAAAGTATATGTTTCTGAAAAAAAATTATAAGACTAATAATATAAACATAATAATACAAACAACAATAATCTTTAGCGTGATTGGATGATCCAATCTAATAATAAATAAAATATTATCATGTGAAAATGTATTTTGCCTATTAAGTATTGTAGTCTTATCACAGTTGGATAGCGTTCACCGAACAAAGCCCCTCAAAACATCGAAAAAGAAAATGAAAAGGTAAAAAATACGTCGAGTTCACACAAGGTAATGTTTAAACTTATTTCAATTTAATTTACAAACTGAAGCTAAATAATATGTCTGGTTTGAGAGCAGTATTTGATTTTTCTGCAAATTGAATACTTTTGTTAAATTGGCGATAAATTGTTCCGTATTTGTTGGTATTTGCCAACGATGTTTGTATTTACCACTAAATCAAACCCAAAATGCATTTTATGTATCAAAATCTGAACAAAATATAGACTTCCCTTTATTTGTATTAGAGTGGTCAGCCATCACCTCGGCTGCTTTTAGCGAAATTGACAAAAAACAAAATGTAAAGGGTAACGGTGTCTAGCAGTCACATATCTTAATGTTCATAGTCTTTTATATTATTTTATTTTTTAATGATCTCATCTCAGACATAAATATGTAGAAATTAGACGCGGATGCATACTTATTTTGTACAATATTTAACTTATTAGTGTTTTGAGGTAAAACTAGAACAACGTTAAATTCTTATTGTCACACCATCACAACCATAAGCTGAATATTGTCTGTCGGTATTTATAGGACAAGTTGAAGTGTTTTCTGAGCAAGTTGCCGTATGGAAATGGTCCAAATGTGGGTTATATAAACTTACCTACACACAAGACAGGTCAATAATTTATAAATACTTAAAATAATATGCCGCTGTGTCATTTTCAACAAAACGTCATTAATTAGCATATACGTTTTCCATAAAACTGTTTTAACCCCCTTTCTGACTCAGAATTTAGACATTTGTTGAACGATTAAAAGTTTGAATACTCTTAAAGTTAAAGATTAGATTTAAAGCAAAAAAAAAGGTTTAAACAATTCTTAAAAAAGAAAATAAATAAAAAGACAATTAATTTTGTCCTCTTTTAATATTAATAGATCTGTCCTGTCATACTTGTTGTTTTGTCCAAGTATGAATCATTTCAATGAAAATGACAAAGTTTAGAAAATATCAGCAAAGTTCTATCATTTGTCGGTCAAAGTCATTTAAAGGTCAATATCATACCTTAATTATTCAACATGACTCAAGGTCAATTTATACACAATTTTATATACATGAAAGTCCTATCCTAAAGAACATTGTATCTTATAATGAAATCAATCCATTCATAAATTACAAAGTTATATATAGTCAGTTACAACAAAACAAACAAACTGACAAAAAATAAATAAAAATGATTATAAAATTGATCTTCAAGGCCAAGGTCATTTATAAGTGAAGGTCAATGTCTGTCTTCTATTCTAGAAGATTGTTGTGTCCAAGTTTGAAGGCAATCCATTCAAAAATAACAAAGAAGTAACCACTAATAGCAAAAATCAAGCAAACTTCAGACATCTGACATTGAAGAACAAGGTCATTTATGAATGAAGATCAAGTTTAGCCGGGTCTTCTCGAAGAGCTTTTCGCAAGGGTTGTTGCCGCCAAGTATGAAACAATATACTAAGAACTTTAAATGGTGTGATCAATGTTAAAGTTTATGGGACGACAACGGCAACGCGGGAATGCCATGACTAACAATACATCTACTTTTCTCAAAAAAAGCTTTAATAACCCACAAAAAAGATTACGGAAAAAGTGACATCAACAAAAATGTACAGTTACCTATAGTTATTCTTCTTTAAGTCACATAAGTATCCAAAAATATGTGAGCTCGGACGAACGTTCTCCTTGAATTGACGTTACTGGGTTATTTCAATAATCTTTGATCTCTAAACTCCATTATATTAAGCTACCTATTTTCACCTCATAAGCAAATTTTACTAACAAGAACATGTTTGTACACGGATATTCATCCAATAATGTAACTTTACTTCGAACGGATGGACGGACGGATGAAAGTGAACCTATAATCCATTTCGGTTAAACCGGCAGCATGATTTAACATAAATAAACGCAACTAGTTTAAAGTTTAATTGTTTTCTGATATTTTTATCCAACACTATCTTCAAAACCGAAAAAAGAAACTTTATATTTAGCTATTTATTTTACGCCTATATACGCCTTTTAAATGATAGGCAGTGCTTTTATCATGACGTATCTTTTAGGCCCTCCCACTTTTTTTGCACATGTAAAAAGAACTACGTAAATGTAAATCGATTTAAACTAGCAACAACGTTGTCGATAACTTTTCCAGGCATGAAAGTGACAGTGAAATATGGGCCAAACGGTCATTAAGTCTCAAGCAAATAGATAGCCAATGCACATATAAAAATGATAAATTCCAGTAGTGTTTACAGAATGTCAAAAGTTAATCAATATACAGTGCTATAAATAAAGAAAACGTACTTGCTTGAAATCCATGGTATATATAGTTTGTTTGTTTGTTTGTTTGTTCCGCCGAGGTTTTTCTGAATGCAAATTAACAAATTGTCAGTATAAACAATATACCTGATAGTTGATATTTATTTTAACTCCAAACCATTATAACAAAAAACGTATTTCTGCTTATTTATATACTATAATTTGAACTGCTTTAAATACTATTACACTGTAGTACACTGACGGGCAAAAGAAACGCACCATGTCCGATTTTTCAGTATTCTCATTAGAATTACAAAATATTATTTTCATCTGCAAATTTGAATATTTTTTATTAAAAAATGATTGTAAGGAACTTATTAAACTGTTACAGTTTTTAAATACACGTGTCGGAGAATTTTCATTTCGAAAATCCGTGTGTCCACCCCTACTTTCGACAACAGCAGCAAAGCGGCGTCTCATGGAACCGCACAAATTGCGTAGAAGATAACGAGGGATTTGGCCCCACTCCTGGTGCAGCGCTGCCGTCAGTTTCTGGACGTTTGCTGGCTAGGGTTGGCGTCGACGTAACGAACGTCCAAGGTAATCCCAAACAAGTTCAATCGGGTTGCAATCCGGTGAACACGCCGGCCAAGGCAAAACGCAAATGTTGTTCGCCTGTAAAAAGTCCCATGTGGCACGTGCAACGTGTGGTCGCGCGTTGTCGTGCTGGTAGACAAGGTTTTGACGTTGACGGAATATCAGTACAACCACAGGACGTAAAACCCGATCTATGTATCGCCATGCTGTGAGGTTACCTTGGCACACGACAAGTTGTGTCTCAAACCTGTAGTTTATCGCTGCCAAGACCATAACTCCGCCCACTATGCACGGATTGTTCTCCACAACGCAATTGTCAACGTAGCGTTCGTGACGTCGCCTGTTCACACGGATATGCCCGTCGGCGTTTCATAAGTTGAAACGCGACTCGTCGCTGAACACCACGTTCTGCCAACACTGAACGCGATGGTTGCGTACTCAGATCAAACGTTGGTGACGGTGGCGTAATGTAAGAACTAAACCACGGTAAGGTCTACGGCAGGTAATCCCGCCTTGCTTCAGTCGACTGTTTAACGACTTATTAGGCAAAGACGTCACACAGGGTTTATTCAGAACGTCGCCGATCGGCAAACATTCCAGTAACTCTATCACACCGAACAAGACGCCTTATCGTCTAACGCGAGACGTAAAAAACGTCTGGATACTTGTTCTTGCGTTTGCCCGCATTCGAGCATGGCCAAAACGCGAGCTCTCTCTTCAGAATTTAGCCTTGCATTCTTAAATACGAATGTTTAATCAGAAAATCTAAAAATGTGATTGTCAATCGACTAGCACATGTAACTGTGTAAAATGTGATCGATTTCACCACGTGTTAAACATACACGAGGTGCACATGGAAATCATGAGAAGCCACAGGAAATAAACATCGGGTTGAATAGAAGCGCACCATTTTTATACGCCCGTTTAAAAAACGGGACGTATTATGGGAACGCCCCTGGCGGGCGGGCGGTCGGGCGGGCGGCGTCCAATTTTGTCCGGAGCATATCTCCTACATGTATGGAGGGATTTTGATGAAACTTCATAGAAATGTTCACCGCTATGAGGAACAGTGTCGCGCACATGAACCAGGTCTCTAGGTCAAAGGTCAAGGTCACACTTAGAGCTCCTTGAAAAATGCTTGTCCGGAGCAAAACTTCCACGTGTATAGAGGGATTTCAATATTACTTGGCACAAATGTTCACCATTGTAAGGCGGAATGTCGCGCGCAAGATTCAGGTCCTTGCGGCCAAGGTCAAGGTCACACATAGAGGTCAAAGTTCAGATAAAAATATGAAGATGTGTATATGGACCATTTAGTCATCATTTATTGAGGATTGTAACACAAATGGTCATTATCAAGACTATGGCTGTGATACATATAATTTAGGTCAATATATACAAGGTCAAGGTCACTAAAGATGATGAAATATCCAGATTTTGTCCGGAGCATATCTCCTACACGCATGGAGGGATTTTAATGAAATTTCATAGAAATGTTCACCATTATGAGAAGCCATGTCACGCACATGAACTAGGTCAAAGGTCAAGGTCACACTTAGAGCTCATTGAAAAATGCTTGTCCGGAGCAAAACTTCCACATGTATAGAGGGATTTCAATATAACTTGGCACAAATGTTCACCGTTGTGAGGCTGAGTGTAGCGCACAAAATTCAGGTCCCTGCAGCCAAGGTCAAGGTCACACATAGAGGTCAAAGTTTAGATAAAAATATGAAAATGTGTATAGGGACGATTTAATCATCATTTATTGAGGGATTGTAACACAAATGGTCATTATCATGACTACGGCTGTGACACATGTTCTTTAGGTCAATATATGCAAGGTCAAGGTCACTAAAGATGGTGAAATATCCAGA